GTTTCAGGTGTTTGGCCAAAGTGCAAGGATAAGACATGGTTTATGCTTTCAACCAACTTAAAATCTGTGGAAGATACTAAAAACCAAAACCAAACTCATTGCCATCCAGTCGATTCCGACTCATAGCGATCCTTTTAGGATAGAGTAGAAGAGTTTCCAAGGCTGTAAATCTTTACGGAAGTAGAATACCTCATTTTCCTCCCGCGGAGCAGCTGGTAGGTTTGAACCGTCCACCATCTGGTTACTAATCAAGTGCTTTACCCACTACGCCAGTAAAGCTCCTTTCTAACCAATAAGTACTACATAATTGACTCATTGATAGATACCCTGCAAATATCTGAAGCCATCTATTATGCCCATCTTGGGAGATTTGGTAGCATAGTGCCCAAGGCACTTGACTGCTAACCAGAAGGCTGGCGGTTCAAACCCACCAGCCACTCCTTGGAAGGAAGATGAGGCAATCTACTTCCATAGTGATACTGCCTCGGAAACCCAAGGAGGGATCGCTATGAGTCGGGTCCAACTCGACAGCACGTAACAACAACAGGTCCATCTTAAGTGTTTTCTCAATGTTCCTGACCAGTTCCAACCCTCTTTCTAAAATAAACCAGACAGCCGCGCCCGCGATACTCAGGCCTCTGTTCGCGGTGCAGACGTAAGGAAAATTCCAGCTCTGCCTTTGCCACCTTCTCCCAGTAGGCTTTACCTATTCTTGTGATAGTAGTAGCAAGAAAGCAAGTTCAGCTAACCCAATAGTTGCGAGAATGATTCACAAACTCGCAAGGGTGAAGGCGATCAGCACCCTAATCACGCCCACCTGCGCTCAACAGGGTTTATCCCAAATTCTCTACCAATTTATTGTCTCTTTCACAAGCGCGGTCCTCCCTTCGCGCATGCCCTTTACGTCTCACCTAGCTCAAACCTATCCCGTTAATCTTTCGCGCATGCGTCGATTTTGTCGTCTCAGTTCTCATTACTAACTCCTCGTGCCCTCGCTTGTCAAAGCTCACAACCTCTTTACATCCCCCGCGCCGGCACTAACCGGTACTCGAACTCGTCGTCGTCGTATTTGTCCGAATAGTAAATTTGTTTGTGCGACATGATCGCTCTGCCTGAGGGACTCCAGACCAACACCGTCAACCTCCAAACAACTCCCAGCAGCACGAGCTCCCACCTTCTTTGGCCTCGCTTTCAAACACGCCGCCTGCACTTCTTATTGGTCTCTTTAGCTCAAGGCGGGACAGCTCCACCTAAAAGCCTCCGATTGGCTTAGATTTACTTCGCTTAGGGTCCTTATTGGAGGGTAAGTCATACGTTTCTGAAGTAAGAGCTTGGGTCAAAAATAGGCCTCTTATTGGCTATCACTGCTCCTATGCGGGTTCTCGCACTGCCATTGGCTGATTCGAGAAAATGGGAAGGCTGGAGGAGGGACAGTGAGGTAGAGGGTCAGGGGTTAGTGAGGCCGGAAGTGAGTGCAATAAAGTTTCTCCAGGGAGGCCGGGTCCGGGGAGAAAGTTGGAGCGGCGACCTAAGAAGGCAGTGGCGTAATCTGGAACCAAATAGGCCCGCGGTGCGGTGCGGAGACTCCATGCAGCCCTGGTGAGTCTTGACATTTTTCTCCTTAGGTGACCCATACCTCCACCCCGGAACCCCTCTCCCGGGACCCCACTTCCGGTCTTCATTGATAAGTCCCGCCTCCCGAGACCCCCTCCCCGGAAGTCCCACCTCCCAGTCTCAGGGGGCTCCCCGAACCCCTCCCAGCTGTAGGGTGCTTTCCGAACCCCGAATTGTTTTTTATTTACTGTCCGTGACCCCACCCAGTCTCCCAGCTTTCCTGGGAGTCCCACCCGCAGACATGCTTCCAAATACTATTACGAGAAACCCTTTGTTAGTCCTTCCAAGTCGCCGAAGTTCCGCTTCCTCGCGGCGATTCTCTGTTAACTCCTGTCTGTCAAAAACCTATCTCCCTAAAGGGATAAACCTTGCACCTCAAAGAACTATTTGAATTCGTTGAAGCCACGCCTGTTGTAGGAGCGCCTCCCCTCTGGAAGCCCCGCCTTTTCCTTAATCCTTGTCTGAGTGTCGAGTACCCTCTTGTGCTCCACGCCCCTTCTGGGTTCTTATGTGTGTGGGACTTGGGTCATCACATCTCAGAAGCTTTGTCTTCAATCTCAGGAGTCTCACCTGCTTACACTCTCTCGTCCTTTCTTCAGGTCCTTGGGCTCAGTTTTCCTGAGCTTTTATGCTCCCCGGAGTGGGAAATCAAAGTTAGCATCTCTGCCCTGAGGAGTGAGAGACTAGAAGCACCTCTTTCTTTCCTTTACCTCCCCTTCCTATAGTGGACTTGCTTGGAGTGGGCTGGAGTTGGGGTTTTGTCATGAGAGTGGTAAAGAGACTTGCATATAGCGTGAGTCCCAGCCCTCCCCCCATTCCCAGCCCACTTCCCAGGACCCACCTCACCCTATAAACAGCTGCAAATCATACCAATGTCTCAGGAGTTGGGTTGTTGTTGTTGTTGTTTGCCGTCGAGTCAGCCCTGACTCATAGCGACCCCTCCTTGGGTTTTCGAGGCAGTGTCACTACAGAAGTAGGATTGCCCAACCTTCCTTCTGAGGAGTGGCTGGTGGGTTTGAACTGCCAGCCTTGCCATGAATTCGTTAGTGTGTGGCATCGAGTCAGCCCCGACTCATAGCGACCCCGACTCATAGCGACCCCTCCTTGGGTTTCCGAGGCAGTATCACTACAGAAGTAGGATTGCCCACACTTCCTTCCGAGGAGTGGCTGGTGGGTTTGAACCGCCAGCCTTCTGGTTAGCAGGCAGGTGCCTTAGGCACTATGCTACCAGAGCTCCTTTGTGAGTATGGTAGGAGCCAAAGTTTTCCAACACCAGACAGAGTGGTGGCTTGGAGTAGATGTAGGAAGTAGTGCCCTTTTTTTTTTAATGGGACTCCTCTGTTCCCACCACTTCTCTGGCTCTTCCCCTCCCCCTAACTGGAGTTCTTGTCTGGGCATTCCTCCTGGCTTTTCCAGCATTTCCCTACTGGAAACATTCCTGAGGCTTTCGCCATTTCCTGCTACTTCCTGCTCCTCTGCCTCCTCCCTGCGTCTCCTCCCTGCTGCACAGCTTCTCCCACACCCCCAATCACTGGGACTCCCAGTAGGTAGTTTCCTTTCTCCCTATGCAAATTTGAAGAGTTAAACTTCCTCTTTTTTCCCTTCCAATTGTCCATACCTGTTGGTCACTCCCTGCCTCTGGATACTGCAGACTCCCATAGAACGGCCATCTCTAGAGATTAGGATATCTTGGTGTGTGTGTATGTGTGTTGCTGGTGTGCGGCTGTGGCAGAATCCTTTCCTTATTCTGTGCCTGAGAGCTGAGGCCTGAGGAAATGGAGTGATAGAATTCCTTTTCTGGAGTGGTAGATGGAGTGATTAAGTTTTCCTGGAATGAGGACTAAAGGGAAGTGAAAGCATTTAGCACAGTATATAACATGTCTTAAGTGCTAGTATTATCACTATAATCATATGATTACTGGCTTCTTTTTATTCTCTAAAGAAAATTGAGGGATAAGGAATTCTGAGGTGAGCCTGGGGGTATGTATATCTTCTTTTGTCTACTTTCTAACTTCCTCTGTGGCTCCTTCAAGCACAATTGTGACAGGACACCATTGGTAGAAGCAGTGGGTTTGGGATTGTTCCCTCTGTTCAGCCTCAGCCCATCTTCTGGTACCACTTTTTCCTGTACTTATTGTAGATCTGTCTTCTGGCCTCTTGATCCCTTGGTGGCCTGTGTCCCCCACTTCTCTTAGAGACCTCTCCCACTCTCCCACCTCCCCCAGCCAGACTCCTTCCCTAGTGTGAGAGCACTGTGCTCTGTGGTGGCACCTGGGCACTCCCCAGTCACCAATGCAAGATTTAGAAAGTTGACTTTAGATTAATGCCTAGGCCCTCCAGCTCTCAGCCTTGACGGCTTGCTTTGCTAACTATACCTATGGAAAGGGGAACAGAACAGTACCTGGCTGTGGGCCATTGCTCTTTGGTATGGTAGGTGCCATGCATAGGGAAGAAGCCTCAGCCAGCCTGTCCTCTTGTTCTAGCTCTCACACGGTGGCTTCCTGATGCACCACCCAGGTTGGACTTTATCCTCCTTACTTCAGCTGTGCCTTTCCTCTAGGCCCCTCTCTGCATCCAGTGGGATCACCACTTCTTTCCCTTCCGCATATCTCTACCTCCAGTCCACAGCTGTTGTGGCAGAGGTTGCTAATGGCTCAGGCTCCCTGGGGTCACTGCCCCACTGTGTGGTAGTGAGGGGGAGGCAGCCTGGGCTAGAGGAGGGGGAAATTTGAGTGTTCAACCAGAACAGGAAAGTGCTGAGTTTAGCGATCTCCTCCCTTTTCCACCTCCAGCTGCCTCTGTTTCCTCCCTCATTAGGCCCCCACCTCTCCCTTCCCTGGCTTCCTGCTCCCTCTGGCCTGCCCATGTCCGGTTTGGATTGATCCAGACCTCCTCTTAACTTCCTCCTTTCCTTCCCTTTCCTCCATCCGTCCTTTCAACCCCCAGTTTACTCCTCCCCAGATTACAGGTTGTTTGTTTGGAGGTGGGGGGAAGAGAGACGTGGCTATCCCTACCCTAGCAAGGCTTCTAGGTTGGGGCGGTGGTGTGGCTCAGCCCCTCAGAGCCTGTGAGTCAGCACTGTCCTTGGGATTGGTCTCTCCCCTCAGCTCCCCGCCCCTGAGGCGGAGCTAGGCAGCTTTGGGTCCAGCCTGTTCTCCTCTCGACAGAGAAGAGGCTCCACGCTGGGCGGGGATGGGTCCTAAAACTGTCCGGGGCTGAGCTAGGGAGCTGAAGCCACCTGTCTCTCTCCCTCCCCAGGACTCCTGGGACCCCTGGGCTATAGAGGTCCGACCAGGCTAAGGACCTGGGGATGCCCCCTGCCTGGCCCCCTTGCCCTGACTGGCAGGGGGGCCGGGCTGGGCAGTAGCACCCCTCTCACTCCAGCCATGGATCTCCTTCCCCCCAAGCCCAAGTACAACCCACTTCGGAATGAGTCTCTATCATCGTTGGAGGAGGGGGCCTCAGGGTCCACCCCCCCGGAGGAGCTGCCTTCCCCATCAGCCTCATCCCTGGGGCCCATCCTGCCACCTCTGCCTGGGGACGACAGTCCCACTACCTTATGCTCCTTCTTCCCCCGGATGAGCAACCTGAAGCTGGCCAACCCAGCTGGGGGGCGCCTGGGGCCAAGGGGGGAGCCAGGAAGGACAGCCGAGGATGGGGAGGGGATCGCAGGGGCAGCCATGCTGGACTCAGGCCCCCTGCACCTCCTCCAGGACATGAACAAGCTGAGTGGAGGCGGCGGGCGCAGGACTCGGGTGGAAGGGGGCCAGCTGGGGGGCGAGGAGTGGACCCGCCACGGGAGCTTTGTCAATAAGCCCACGCGGGGCTGGCTGCATCCCAACGACAAAGTCATGGGACCTGGGGTTTCCTACTTGGTTCGGGTGAGTGAACATCTTCCCTTCCACTCCTTCCCAGATCTCCTTCCAGTTTCTCTCTTCTCTCCAGCTTTGCTGGAATCTCTTTTTTTCCTGCTCTTCCTTAACAACCCCTTCCTTAAGAGCTCTGTTCTTAAGTCCCATTTCCTTTATTAAACCTTTCTTCCAATTCCGTAACCCCTTCCCTTCCAGCTCTGCCTGGGCTCCCTTCCTTCTGGCTCCTCTACTCCCACCCCCACCCTGCCATGCTTAGCACAATGCCCAGCACATGGTAGGCCCTTAGGAAGTGTTGGAATGAGTGACTATTTGATTCTCTCTTCCAGTCTCCTCCCCATTTCTGGAGATGTCACTAGATTGTCTCCACCCCACCTAGTGCCTGTCACTCCCCTCCAAATTCTCTTCCCAGATGCTGAGATCCTCCTAGCTTCGCTTTCTTTCATTGTCATTCCCTGTTGTCTTGCACCTTGTGGGATGTAGTAGCCATGGTCAGTAGGCAGAACTTGCACATCTTTACTTCCCTCAGGGGCCACTGAGAAGGAAGGGAGAAGTTGTAGGGCCCTTTGTGAAAAGGGTTGAGTGGGAGGTGGCTGACTTGTTATCCCCCATCCTTCTTCTCAGTACATGGGCTGTGTGGAGGTCCTGCAGTCCATGCGTGCCCTGGACTTTAACACCAGAACTCAAGTCACCAGGTCAGTGGGGAGGGGGCTGGATTGTGGGTGTTCTGGGAAAGTGGAAGAGAGGAGTTGATCACATGATTGTGGTGCTAGTGGTAGCTTATTTTTGGATGGTAAATGGGAATGAGAGAAGAGAACAAGTCTAAGTCTGAATGAGAAGGGGAACTGTGGCCCAGATCCTCCTTACCTATCCAGCCTTGGGAGTTGTAGGGGAGGTGGCAGAGGCAGCTGGCAGGTGGAGTTTGAGTGGAAAATGGGGGTAGACTGAAAGTTGCTCCTGCCTTTGGGAAGGGAACAGAACATTTAGTGGCCGGAAGGGGGTGGGGCTATACCCATTGAGGCCCTAACCCAATCAGCCAGGAAGCGGTCTCTCAGTGTCATCAAATATTAAAGGCCCTTAATTCAATCCACCACGACAAAGAGCCTGGAGCTAGCGCCCCAGGAGTCTGGCCTTCCCCTCCCCCAGTCCTGTGACAGCCCCATCTGAGTGGAGGCAGGCTCTGGGTCTGAATATCCCTCTTTCCCCAGGGAGGCCATCAGTCTGGTGTGTGAGGCTGTGCCGGGTGCTAAGGGGGCAACAAGGAGGAGAAAGGTACCTGGGGCTGATGGGCTTAGGGATGCTGCTGGGAGATGTGGAGGGGCAGGAGGAAGGCAGGTGGGCATGTGGGGAGAAGGCCAAAAGGCAGAAGTGTGTTTCCTGTTGTTGGGAACCCTGTTTCTGAACCCTCTGGGCCCTTCCCTAGCCTTGTAGTCGCCCGCTCAGCTCCATCCTGGGGAGGAGTAACCTGAAATTTGCTGGCATGCCAATCACTCTCACAGTCTCCACCAGCAGCCTCAACCTCATGGCAGCTGACTGCAAACAGGTTGGTGGTCTAAGGCAAGGGGACCAGAAACACTAATGGGGGGGTTAAGGGGGGATCTGGTTATGAGGGCAAAGATACAGAAGAGCGGGCAGCAGGATAGTAGGGAAAGGAAATTATGAGGACATGTGGGGTAAGAAGCCAAGAGGGTGGACCAGGGTTAGAGGCACCCAGCTGGACCCTGAGGCTACCTGACCTGTCATTCCCTTCCTTCTCCATCCCCCACCGTAACCCTCAGATCATCGCCAACCACCACATGCAATCCATCTCGTTTGCATCCGGCGGGGACCCGGTGAGTTGGGAATAGAACACAGACGGTGGGAGAAGAGTAAAGGCTAGGGACTGGGAAGATACTGGTTAGAGAAATGGGAGATGATAGTACTGAGGGGATATCGGAACAGGACTGGGCTTTAGGGGTCAGGAGTGAGGTAGGGGTGTAAAATTTAGCTAACTGGCCTCTTCTGACTGTCCACCCCAGGACACAGCTGAATATGTTGCCTATGTTGCCAAAGACCCCGTGAATCAGAGAGGTGAGGAGTGGTGGGGAGCAGTGGGTGGGGCCGGCTGTCCATGAGGCAGGTGAGCAGGACAGGGTCTTCTTTCCCTGCTCGAACTAAAGAGAAGCAGGGGCTTCTGCTGGGGAAGATGAGCGCCCATGTCCATGCCTCTGGCAGCCCCTACGTCAGAGCTCACTGACAGCCTCTGCTGTACCCCCAGCCTGCCACATCTTGGAGTGTCCTGAAGGGCTTGCCCAGGACGTCATCAGCACCATTGGCCAGGCCTTTGAGTTGCGCTTCAAACAGTACCTCAGGAACCCACCCAAGCTAGTCACTCCCCATGACAGGTGAGTGGGTAAGGTGTGGGTGGGGCAGCTCTTGGGCCCCAGAGCCTAATTGGGAAAGTAAGTCTGTTCTTCCCACACTCGAGCTCAGAGAGACTCAGGGAAGGAAATAACCTGTGTGCTCCTGCTTCCACTTCCTGCTATTCTTAAGTTTCCTGTAGCCCATCAGGAAAGCCTTTTGAGGCCCTGCCTGCTGCAGGGCCAGCTCTTCCTCTTGTTTGCCCCTGATGGAGCTGTATTCCCAGAGCTCCAGCCTGATCTCTGATCCTGGCTAGATGGGTTCTTCTAGTCCCAATCTCTTCATTTCTGACCCATCCCTCTTTCCTGCATTCTGCACTTTTCTGCCCCTGGAACAATTTAGGGGAAGGAGGCTATCTTTTTCCTGAGACCTCTACCCTTCCCAGTTTGGACCCTGAAGGATGACCAATGGGGGCAGTAGGTATTGAGTAGGAGCTCTGGTGGCATAGTGCCTAAGGCATTTGTCTGCTAACCAGAAGGCTGGTGGTTCAAATCCACCAGCCACTCCTTGGAAGGTTGGGCGATCTATTTCCATAGCAATTGTTGTTGTTGTTATGTGCCGTCGAGTCGGCCCCGACTCATAGCGACCTCTCTTTGGGTTTCCAAGGCAGTATCACTACGGAAGTAGGATTGCCCAACCTTCCTTCCGAGGAGTGGCTGGTGGGTTTGAACCGCCAGCCTTCTGGTTAGCAGTCAAGTGCTTTAGCCACTATGCTACCAGAGCTCCTTCCATACTGCCTCAGAAACTCAAGGCGGGGTCCCTGTGAGTCATATCTGACTTGACAGCATTGCATTGCATTGCATTTTGTTTAGGTATTGAGTATTTCAAGGAAGTTAAAAGATTTCTGTGATTTCTCCCCTCCCCCCAACTTAGTGGATCCCTTCCCTGCTTTGGGAGACAATGATAGGTCATGAGCTTTAAAGTCAAACCTGAATTTTATTCTCAGCTTCACCACCTTTTTTATGACCTTGGGTAACTCTTTTTACTTCTGTGACTCATTTTCCTCATTTATAAAACTGGAGAAGGAGGTAATACCTACCTTACATGGTTATCAGGAGGATTAAATGATTATGTATTTAAAACACCCAGCCTCAGGCCTACCTGTAATAAGTGCCCAGTACATGGCCACTGTTTAGTTCCCTCTCCTTCTGTCCTCCTGCCCCACCATTCATTTACACCTACCCTCCTCACTACATCCTGTTCCTCTCAGGATGGCTGGCTTTGATGGCTCAGCTTGGGATGAGGAGGAGGAAGAGCCACCTGACCATCAGTACTATAATGACTTTCCGGGAAAGGAACCGCCTCTTGGGGGGGTGGTAGACATGAGGCTTCGCGAAGGAGCTACCCCAGGGGCTGCTCGACCCGCTCCGGCCAGTGCCCAGACCCCTAGCCACTTGGGGGCTACGCTGGTAAGTTGTTTGGATGGAAGTGGGCTGGGCCCACAAATGGGAGTGTCTGGTTAGAGCTTCTGGTGTCACTGTATTTTTTGTCACTGCAGCCGGTGGGGCAGCCTGTGGGAGGAGACCCAGAAGTTCGAAAACAGATGCCACCTCCACCATCCTGCCCAGGTATAGAGGGAGTTGATATGGACAGAGCCAGAGATGCAAGTGGCAAGGCTTGAATCACTGTAAAGCCTCCCTTTCCTTGGCAGGTAGAGAGCTCTTTGATGATCCCTCCTATGTCAACGTCCAGAACCTAGACAAGGCCCGGCAAGCAGGGGGAGGGGGCGGGCCTCCCAATCCTGCCATCAACGGCAGTGCGCCCCGGGACCTCTTTGACATGAGTAAGTGCTCCTTGTCCTGCTAGGGATTCCCATCTTCCCTCTTGGTTTCTCCTCTTCTGCCCATCTATCTTCTCTTTTCCTTCCTGGCCTCCTCTTCCTTAATGTCTGGGTCCTAGGTGTGTGTTATGCCAGCTGCCTCTCCTAGCCCTTTCTCTACACCCTCAGAGCCCTTTGAAGATGCCCTTCGGGTGCCTCCACCTTCCCAGTTAGTGTCCATGGCTGAGCAGCTCCGAGGGGAGCCCTGGTTCCATGGGAAGTTGAGCCGGCGGGAGGCTGAGGCGCTGCTGCAGCTCAACGGGGACTTCCTGGTACGGGAGAGTACAACCACGCCCGGCCAGTATGTGCTCACCGGCTTGCAGAGTGGTCAGCCCAAGCATCTGCTTCTGGTGGACCCTGAGGGTGTGGTGAGTATGGTGGGCGTGGGGGTGCAGAAAGGAAAGCACGGTACCCTCCAGTGCCATTCTGTTCCTTCAGTCATTGCTTCCTAGATTTTCCTGCTGGACATCGCTACATGGGCCTCTTCTGTTTTTCAAAGAGCTTGGTATCCCTTTCCAGCAGCTTAGTGTTCCTTCGTACATGCCTGAACCTGAGCCTTGCTCCTTCCAGCCCTGGCCAGTCCTCAAATCCCTGAATGTTAAGTCCATCAGAGCTAGAAAGGGCTTTAGTGCTCATCTCACTTGAGCCCTTATTTTGACAGATGAGAAAACCATCCTGGAGACTTGTGACACTAAATGTCAGAGGGTTAAGAGGCTAGACCTCAAGTCTACTCTTGCAAGAGCAGTAGGGTCCCCCCAGCTCCCTTAGACTCACGGCTCAGACCAATGCCCTTCCTTCTCCTGTCTCCATTGGGCCCCTGCCCTTCATAACTTTGGTCTCTTTGTTACAGCAATCTCAGCTGCTTTTCCACATCTTTTTTTGCACTGTGTATCTGCCCTCCAATACATGCGAGCTGCTTCTAGGGCAGGGAAGGAGTAGGTATCTCTCAGTGCCATGGCTCTTGAGCTGATGTCACCTCTACCTTTTCCCAGTTAACTGCCCTGCCCATTCTCACAGCCATCTCCAGCTTCTCTTTCTAGAGAAGCCTCAGTGATCAGGACTGACAGTCCCCACCCCCTGCCATCTTTTTCTCCTTCCCCAACCCTCTGGAATATTCCAGCTTCCTCAACTTTGGGAGCCAAGGTCTAATTTGACTGTTCACCTGAACTGACCTTCCCCCTCCTTCCTTCCCCAGGTTCGGACAAAGGATCACCGCTTTGAGAGTGTCAGTCATCTCATCAGCTACCACATGGACAATCACTTGCCCATCATCTCTGCGGGCAGCGAACTGTGTCTACAGCAGCCTGTGGAGCGGAAACTGTGATCCATCCCAATGCTGTCACCTTGAACATGCCCTCCAGCCCTTCCACCCCACTTCTGACTCTTAGGACCTCTCATTCTGTGGGCCTGGCCTTGTTAGGAGCTGGCGGAGCTGGCAGTATATTAACACTGGGCTCTGCATCCAGCTGAGAGGGTTTGAGTCAGGAGGCTGGGGTAGAATCCTGTTTCTCCCCAAATCTCACCAAAGTATTAATGTACAGAGTGGCCCCCTCCCTTGGGTCTTGCCTGTGCCAATCTGATACCCCCTTCTCCCCAAGAAGGTGGGTGATTGAGGCCTGGACAGTGCCTCCTTGTAATAGAAAAAATGCCCTGTGGTGATAAGCCCAGTAGAGCTATCACCCTTCCAGGGAAGGGGGAATGAGTCATACCTTTGGTCTACTCCTGGGCTCAAGGTACTCCCCCATCACCCCCAAGTGTTTAAACTTTGTGCCTTTGACCATCTCCTAGGTCTGAAGATATTTTATGCAAAGAGTTCTCTTGGGCCCCTGAGGTCGAGGACAGGGTCCTGACACCTCTTGGGTTCTGGGATTCTGTCCTCTTCTTGCTCGGTACCCCCTCCAGTTTGGGTTGGGAGAATAGAGGCAGGAGGGGCAGCTGTGTCCTCTCTTAGAGGATGTGCGACCCTTATAGAGACTGTCCCAGAGCCCCCCTCCCGGCCAGGGGGGTGATGGACCCCTCCCTTGCTCAGTGCCTCCTGGCCGGGGCCCCTCATAGAAGGGGTCTGTATATACATTTCATAAGCCCTACTCCCTCCCATGTTGCATGCATGTTATGCTCTACAGCCAAGCCAAAGTTTAGCCCTTCTTCCTGTAGCCTCTGCTCTGCCTCCATCTGGGGGGGGGGGGCCTGGGCCTGAGGGAGACTGAATTTGGGTCTTCTGTACAGGTAACTCTCCCAGGCGGATTCTGGAGGAGGGAACAGGGCATGATGACTCTAAAGCAGTAGACAATCCCCAAAAACCATCTCTAGATTTGGAGCTGCTTTCATTTTTTTTTTTATATGCATATATTTTAGGGCCTAGATTTACTTTCCTAATTTTGTTTTACATGGCTTATTCTTGAACACAAAATGATTATAATCGATTACATTTATATAATCACCTCTTTTACAACTATGGGCATTTTCCTTACCCTAGCCCGTGAGGCAACTGAGACAGCAGCATTATCTTTTTTACAGGAGACCTGAGAAAAGTTGATTAAGAGCTAGGACTAGAGAAACTTAGGCCTTTTATTGCCCAGGCTGGATGGCAGATGTTTGGCTGAATTAAGTGTTCCAGTTTCAAGAAGAGAAACGTGAAAACCTGCAGTTATTTTTTGTGAACCTTCTACATGCCCGACCCTGCTGTAGGCCTGATGTGGTCACAAAGCCTGCCCTGCTTTCATTAGGCCTTGAGGATAAGGGAGAGTTGACTGACTTTTCGTCTCCTTTTTTTGTTTGGATGTTTTGATCTCACCTTATACCAAAGGGAAATAATCCTCATTAAAGTCCATATTTCTTCTACTTAGGCGTCTTCAGTCCCTCTTCGAAGGCTTTTGTTCGCTGCAACCCCACAGCGGAGGGAGGGAAGTGGGAAGGTTGGGGCCTCCTCCGGGCGCGGCGCATCTCACCCAACTGGCGGTGCTCGTGCCAGCTCGATCATCAGCGCGCCTCCCGCGGGAATCTGGGGGATTTACAGAGTTTGTGCGCCTGGCGGGCACGGCACGGTGGGGCGTGCGGGACCAACTGTCCCCGTGAGGATGTCCTCGTCTGCGAGGGAAGCAGGTGTCGGCCGCCCTCAGGCGGCCGGGATTTGAGGCCCTCGGCCCTGTCCGCTCCAGGTGGCCGGACCCCCAAGATCTCTGGGCGTCCCGGGCGCGCGCCTCGGCTCGCGCGTGCACCCTCTCTGCGGCGGCCCCTCTGCCCTGAATGGTACAGTCCGGCAGCGAGGGTTGACGGATGCCACTGCCCAAAGTGAGGTGGTACGGGCCACTCCTCTGGGGTGAAACGGCCCTCTCCTTAGGTTCGTCCAGTACGGCTCTCCCCACTCTCGGAGCTTTCAGGTGTAGAGTCCTTCCCATGCCTCACTCCCCCTCCTCGCCGGGCTCAGTGGTGGTACCCCAGCTGAGTTCCGGTTCCTGTTGCTGCTGCTACGGGCGGGCGGTGAGTCTGGAGCGAGCGCGCATTTCGTGCTTTGGCCCCGTGCGTCTCCCTCATCGCAGTTTCGGGTTGCTGCAGCTCGGGGGCCTGTGCTGCCCCGACTTCCCTTCTGGGGGAGCGATGATGCAGCCCGAGGGTTCCTCCATCCCCCGCCGTCGCTAACCCCGGTCCCCCACTCCATGGCCGCCTCGGCGCCGCCCCCACCGGACAAGCTGGAGGGAGGTGGCGGCCCCGCACCGCCCCCTGCGCCGCCCAGCACCGGGAGGAAGCAGGGCAAGGCCGGTGAGAGTGCTGATAGGGACGGGGCCTGGAAGGGCCGAAGACTTGGGAACTCTGGAGGGGGCAGTTGGCAGGGTGGTGGAGAGAACGAGGGGGTCTTTGGCTGAGGGGCCTGAAAAAAGGTTCAGGTAAAGAGAGTTGGTGGGTGAAAACCCGTAAGGTTTGAGGGTAGGTGTCACAGATTGAGGGCCTTGGAGTTAGGAGGTGCATGGAATTTAGGAGTCTCTTTCAATTTGGTGGTATCAAGAGACGGTTATCCGGCTCTCCGTCTCTTGGTAGGTTAGAGTATGGCCATGCTCACAATTCATTTAACGTATCACGCCCCTTGTCAGTATTTGCTAAATTAAAAAGTGTACACTTAAAAGTTAGAGGAGTTCATTGGGATGGCTGGGAGAAAGGAGGTTGGAGAAACCTCAGGAAAACTTGCCTGCCGTCTGCTGTTTGCTCCTTTTCCAGGTCTGCAAATGAAGAGCCCAGAAAAGAAGCGAAGGAAGTCAAATACTCAGGTGAATGGTGGTTGGTGGTGGGGGTAATTCTTAGCAGCCCTGGTAGCATAGTGCCTAAGGCACTTAACTGCTAACCAGAAGGCTGGCGGTTCAAACCCACCAGCCACTCCTCGGAAGGAAGGTTGGGCAATCCTACTTCCGTAGTGATACTGCCTTGGAAACCCAAGGAGGGGTCGCTATGAGTCGGGGCCGACTCGACGGCAAATAACAACAACATGGCCTTTTCTATCCTGTCACTCCAGTATCTCATTTGTATTTTGCATCAGGTACAGAGAGAAGGTACCTGATGCAAGATACATGCCTCTTGCTGTTTCTGGCCCTTTTCCTCAACTTCATAGCCAAGTTCTGGAGAAAAGTGTCCCCCGAGAGATGATTTGACCAAAGACCTCATCAGGCAGGATTATGGCATAGCCTCTCATCCCTTCTTTTTTCCTGTCTTGGTTTCCTTAAGATGATGACAGCTACCACTTGAGATTTTTCTAAGCACCATAGATTGTGCTAAGTGCTTTAATAGTTTTAGGAGATAGGCATTCTCCCTATTTTGTTGTTGTTAGGCGCTGTTGAGTCAGCTCCAACTCATAAAGTCCCTGTATACAACCCTATTTTACTAACAAGAAATCTGAGGCTTAAAAGTTAAGTACTAGCTCTAGGGTCTTGAAGGTGTTCAAAGTCAGAGCAGGGATTCTAACCACAATTACTGCACTATGCCAGTTTTGTTCTCTACCCTCCTTTCTTTTGTTGCATTCTAAGGTCCATCTTGGTTTAAGATCTGAGCTGGCCAGTAATGGCCTCCAAAACGTGTGTTTTTGGTGCTCTCCTGAGTTAGCTCTGTACCTCCCTCCATGACCGTTTTTCCTTCATCTGTTCCTCACCAGGGCCCTGCATACTCACATCTGACGGAGTTTGCGCCACCCCCGACTCCTATGGTGGATCATCTCGTTGCATCTAACCCTTTTGAGGATGACTTTGGAGCTCCTAAGGTGGGGGCTGCAGCCCCTCCTTTCCTTGGCAGTCCTGTTCCTTTTGGAGGTTTCCGTGTACAGGGGAGCATGGCTGGCCAGGTACCCCCAGGCTATGGCACTGGAGGTGGAGGGGGTCCCCAGCCTCTTCGTCGACAGCCCCCTCCTTTCCCTCCCAACCCTATGGGCCCCACTTTCAACATGCACCCCCAGGGCCCTGGCTATCCACCTCCAGGCAATATGAACTTTCCAAGCCAACCCTTCAGTCAACCTCTGGGTCAAAACTTTAGCCCTCCTAGTGGGCAGATGATGACAGGCCCAGTGGGAGGATTTGGCCCTATGATTTCACCCACCATGGGACAACCTCCCAGAGGGGACCTGGGTCCTTCTTCTCTCCCCCAGCGCTTTGCCCAGCCAGGAGCACCTTTTGGTCCGTCTCCTCTCCAGAGACCTGGTCAGGGGCTCCCCAGCCTGCCTCCTAACACAAGTCCTTTCCCTGGCCCAGACCCTGGCTTTCCTGGCCCTGGTGGTGAGGATGGGGGAAAGCCTTTGAATCCACCTGCTCCCACTGCTTTTCCCCAGGAGCCCCATTCAGGTTCCCCAGCTGCTGCTGTTAATGGAAATCAACCCAGTTTTCCCCCAAACAGCAGTGGGCGGGGTGGGGGCACTCCAGATGCTAACAGCCTGGCACCCCCTGGCAAGGCAGGTGGGGGCTCGGGGCCCCAGCCTCCCCCAGGCTTGGTGTATCCATGTGGCGCCTGTCGGAGTGAGGTGAATGACGACCAGGATGCCATTCTGTGTGAGGCCTCCTGCCAGAAGTGGTTCCATCGCGAGTGCACAGGCATGACTGAGAGTGCCTATGGGCTGCTGACCACTGAGGCCTCTGCCGTCTGGGCCTGCGATCTCTGCCTCAAGACCAAGGAGATTCAGTCCGTCTACATCCGTGAGGGCATGGGGCAGCTGGTGGCTGCCAACGATGGGTGACACTGATAAGGTGGCCCAGGGAAGTGCACATGTCCTTCTCTGCCCTTTCGGGGTGATTGTTTTTGTGTCTGGCTCTTGGTCCTTGTTTCCTGTGGCTTCCTGTTCCCACAGGGGCTGAAACACAGTGGCTATTGGGGGCAGAAAAGGAACTGAGATGGGCAGGCAGAAGAGGGCCTGGATTGCTCACTTTTCTGGGAACTTGCCTGTTGAGATCTACAGAGGTCCTGAAAGCCAAAGCCTTGCTGTGCAGAGCCATTTTTTTGTGTGTGGCTGTTTGGAGGCCTAGGGCTGTGGCTGCAAGAGAAAAAGGGCTGGAGGGAAATCTGGAGGGCAGGGTCCCCTCTGCAGATGATGGATATCCTCTAACACCTGTGCCTAACACTCCTGTCTAGCTCCACAGTGCCACCCTTACTTTTCGGCATAGAGGTTTCTGGCCAGAGTTGTTGGGGGCTCTTCCCATCTCTGTAGCAGCCTTTTAATGGGCTCTGTGAGATGGCTTTAGGGTATAAATGGGGATTTTTCCCTCTTCCTTTCTCTTTGCCTCCTCTGAGACCTACTCAACTCCTCTCAGAACCAAATAGCTCAAAGAAGCTGGAGAATTCTTTGCTATGACCGTTTCTTGGTGAATTGGGGCTTCAAGAGAGTAGATAAGAGATGCTGTCAGAACTTAAATCCCTCATACCAAAGTCACTGGTCCTTTCTCAGCTTCTCTTATGCTTTTCTCCTAATGACCGTGTTTTTGCCAAAAAGTGGGATGTGTGGTCTGACCAGGATAGTTGAAGTTTGGACTCTTCTGGAAGTCTGGACTCAGGTTGTACCGCCCTCCCCATTTTGTCCATCTGTTGCACATTATCTAAAGCGCCTTTCTTCAACTTTTGGCGCCCTTATGGCCCTGCCTGTCTGGCTTGACTGAAGGAAAGCTTGAAAAGGGGCCTTTATACCTCATTTCCTCTCCTGATGATAGGATCCAAGTCAGGCCCTGTTATACCATTATGGGTGGGGGATGCGGCGGGAGCCTCATTGCCATGGTACTAAAAGGTAGGAGAGCCTGGATCTTCTCGCTCTCATCCTCTGCCGTTCTTTGATAATCTTCTTGGGCCTAGTCATCTAGCCATTCCTCTCAGCCAAAGTCCTGGACTGGGCTTTATTTTTTTTTTTTTTCTTTTTTAAGCACTGTCTGCCAGACAGGGGCCCAGGGGCTGACCAACCCCCCCCCACACACACACCTGCACTTCCTTAAAGATCTTGTAAACATTCCTCACTAGGGTGGGGGAGGGCAGGGGTGTGGCCCTGTGGAGAGAAATTAGTGGTCCCCAAGCACAAGGTTTGGCAGCGAAGGCCCATCTGTGGTCCCCTCTCCCCCTTCTCTTGGTTCCCTAGCATGAGGAGAGGAGCACTGCAGAACTCATTTATCTGCCCTTGAGGAGCCAGCAGCCTTTGTGGCTGGGAGAGCAGGCCTCTGGATTTCTCTTCCAGTCTTCCCCACACTGAAACAACATAGATGGCAACTCCCCACCGCTCAATTTTGTGTTTGTGTTTGTGTTTCTGTTTGGCCCTTTATCTGTTGCTATCTTTGTGTTGTCTCTCCTTTCCCCTTTTTGTAAAGTGGGGGAGGTTCTGGGGGGGTTTCTTTGCTCGCTCACTCCCTCTCCCTCCACTACTTGGAAGAAAGTGGGTCGGCAGAGACGTGGTGGGAGAGTGTTTTGTACCGTTGGATTAATAAAATGACTTGAAAATCCAGACAAGGAGTCCTTACAGTTGATGTGGGAAAAGATCCAAATAAGCCCCTATCACTGCTGAGAAGCATAATTTAGGAGGGGTTCTGTGAAAGTGAGGATGGCGGAAGGATGCAGTACCCTGAACTGATCCTAGTACAAGCCCCTGAATGTAAGAATGCCTGTGTCCCCCCCCCCCACACCTCTGTCCCTTCTGTGAGAAACAGTTTTGTTTCTGAGCATATTTCTGGACCAGGCCTGGAGCCAGGAAGGAGTTTTGGCAGACCAGGGTGGGAAAGCTCTTCTGCCTTTACCTACCCCCTTCCTCAGATGTTAGTGTCAAGTGTAGCTCCCAGGATGGGGGTGTGGGGGAGGGGCTGCCCTTGGGCGAATGTTTTCTTTTTGGAGGCTTTCCATCTCCCCCCCATTTGTATTTTTAATAGCAGTGGCATCCTTAAACAATTTGCACTAGATCGAGGTGGGGAGAGTGGCAAGAGGGCTATTTTCAAGTCCACAATTTGCCACCCGCCCCTTTCCCCTCCCCCGGCCTGCAGCTGTCTCTGTCTATTCTGAGGCCTCGTATGCTTGTTGTCTCAGGCAACACCACCCTTTGCTTTCCTCTGTTTGGGGTCTTCCCTGTAGAAACTTCAGAAACTGGGACAAGGAGAGGGCGCTCAAAATTCAGTTTGCAGGGACCCCAGTGTCCCCATCAGTAGGTAAGCTGCAGGTTTCTAGGCTGTGCAGGTTACCCTTCCCCTCCACTGGCTCTTAACCCCAGCGCTTATTGGCCAAAAGTTTCCGCCCCTGGGGGAGGATGACTTGCCATTGGTCAGCCACTGGTCACATGACTCCCCTCCTTTCTTGATCTGGAAACGGGGAGGCAGCAACAAGTTCAGCTGAAGACAGAAGCTGGGTCAGGTAATGCCCTAGCCGGGAAGGGGACCGCAAATCCCCTGCGAGAGGGAGGATACGAGAAAGAGAGTAGAACTCTTGAGGGAATGGGCTTAACGCGGGCTCCACAGTTCTGCTTGTTATTTCTGGGCTGGAGGAAGGAGGGCCATAGGCGGACATTTCCAGAACTTGCTGAGTCCCCCCAGCAAATTCTTGTGCCCCTGGGTCCTTTGTTTTATGGAGTTTGGGGGAACACTTGTTAGAGGGGCTGAAATTAGCCAGAGGCGAGATTTCCTAGCTTTGTACAGAGTGGGAGAGCTCCCTCTTTAGCTGTCTTTTAGAAATAGCAGAAGTCTGACAATCCTTTCAAATCAAGAAAACAAACCCACTGCTGAGGAGTTGATTCTGACTAATAGCGATCCTGTAGAACAAAGTAGAACTGCTTTATAAGGTTTCCAAGGTTGTAGATCTTTACAGAAGCAGGCTGTCACATCTTTCTCCTGCATATATCCCCCGTAGCGCAGGTGGTGTGTGCAAACCGCTGACCTTTTCAGTTAGCTGCCCAGTATTTAACCACTGCCCAGGGTTCCTTGACAATCCTTACTAGATGTTTTTGTGGAATCCTACCCAGGGGCGGATGCTGGATGAAAAGGCAGAGGGGATGGGAAGCATGTAGGGGTGGGTTTTCTTCTTAGAGATTGGTGAGAAGAAAAAGATCTGAAAACACAGCAGGGAAGGGTGGAGATTAGACAGCTCAGGGAACTTCCTAATAAGGCAGCAGATGCTGGCTTGGGAGAACAGGAGTACTTTTGGAATGTTAATGATTCCAACAAAGAGAGAGGTATCAGGGTTTGGGACCCTGTAAACAGGGGTTGCAGACTGTCTTCTATTTGGATCTCAGACTGGTTTGTCTTGTTGACCCAAATACTGTGACTGGTTTCCATGGAGACATTGGGTCTGACATCATCCTGGTTGCCATGGTGCCTGGTTCTGGAGGACCTGAGCAGGCAGTACACAGCCAGGGATAAACAGGGACTTCAGCTTGAGCTGCTGCCACTTCCTTCCTGCCACCACCTGTTAACAGTCATACACAGCAACTGGGGATGGGGAGATGATGACAGAACAGCAGTAGAGGGGCCTGAGAAGGCAGAGCAGTGATGGCTCTCTGAATGCCTATAGAAGCCTGCCAAGATGTCCTTTTGGCCTTGGCATGGGGATATCATGGTAGCCATTCTCCTATCTCCATGTGGATGGAGGCATAGGCATTGAGGAAGATTTTGTGAGGTGTCCTTCACCTGTCCTGGGCCTGGATCTTGGCTGGCAAGGGCCACAAGAAGTTATTAGGGTACTATGTGGGACTTCAGGAGCTCCGGTAGCGTAGTGCTTGAGGCACTTGACTGCTAACTAGAAGGCTGGCGGTTCAAACCCACCAGTCACTCCTTGGAGCGAAGGTTGGACAATCTACTTCTGTAGGGATACCACCTTGGAAACCCAAGGAGGGGTCGCTATGAGTTGGGTCCGACTTGACGGCACATAACAACAACAATGTGGGACTTAAAGGTACTCAAACGGAAGGGGCAGTGTGGTGGTTTTCAAAGTTGGAACCACTATACTTCCTCATCTGCTATACTTCCTCATCTACTATACTTCCTCATCTGCATTTTTCTTTCACAGGGTTTCCTTAGAGTCTTCTTTTATTTACTGCCCTTCTAGGCTTTCAGTAAGCAGTCATTTATCCTTCTCTGATGAATCACAACCCAGGACTCTAACCTACTTCTCCACCTTCATGCGAGGCCCCAGTTGCAGCTGCCCCAGTCTGTGGGGACAGTCTTGGCCTTGGATAAAGGGATGGATTCCTTTCTATTTAGCTTGCTTTGTGTAGGCTTTGGGAGCTGGAGTGGCTCTCAACCTTTACCCTGTCAAGTCAGAACAGATCAGCAGCTCTGATCTTTGTCCATGCTTTACAAACTGTAAAGTGCATTATTTATGATAGTGGTCATACATCCCTTTTCCCAGTCACCCTCAAGTTCTCTAAGATGGAACTCTGGAGATTACTAAGAAGGAAAAGGTAATTGGATGAAGAGTGAGAGGGACATGGAGATTTATTGAAGGTGCATCCAGATAGATATAGGCTGCCACTGGTTCTAAATCCTGGCTGCACAGGAGAATCATCTAGGGTGGTCTTACGGAAGGCCCATGCTTTGACCCAGCCCCTAACCAATTGAATCAGAATCTTAGGTGGTAGCTGGTGTTAGAAGCCCTGAAACAGACCATGCAAAGGACTTATGGTAGGTAGGTGGCTTGTGGGAGACTTTGAGCTGAAGGAGGCCCTAGAGCTTTCTCTTCCAGGCCCTGGGGGGAGCTAATGATTGTAGAGGGGACTGGTGTAGAGTTGTGTTTCATGCTTTTCTTAGTCGCTGTAGATCTTTGGCAAATGAAGTTAGCCAGCCTCTCTGGACTTAATTTTCCCTGGCTCTATCATGTGGCAGTTGGACTGGGTATTTCCCAAAGCCTTTCCAGCCCTATGCTTCTTTGACCTTTCAAGGTCAGTTCAGTTTCCCAAGGCCCTGCTGGTCCCTGGAAGAGTCAGGCTTCTCTGTGGCTGTTGGCAGGGGTTGATTTGCAAAGCAAATACTGCCCAGAGGAGTTGAGGAGTTAGGATCTGAAGGACTAGAACCAGGCTGGGTTCTGGAGGCTGCAGCCCAGCCATTGAGCTTTGGAACCCAGCCACTGTTGCTCTCTGCATCCTGCCTCTTCTGAAGGGAGCTTTTCTCTGCAGGTGGCAGCCGCAGCAGCCTGGGAACTTCAGCAGCTATGGCTTCCTGCCCAGACTCGGATAATAGTTGGGTGCTTGCCGGCTCAGAGGTAGGAAGAGTGGGCCTGGAAACCACATGGAAGGAGGTTTCCTACAGGGCTAGGATGCTTTCTGGGTCTGTCCCCTTCCTTGTTCCTGACAGTCACCTGCATCGCCTCCTGCTGGCTATGGGAGGAACTCCAGAGGCAAAGAAGGAGACGATCAAGCTCCAGAGGTCAAGTGAGCTGGGGCTATTGGAGAAGCCCTCATGGGGAAGGTGTTAGGACTTGGATCATGCCTTAAAGGAAGGGTCCCACTGTTGAAAGTGCATCCAGGTGGATTTAGGATAAGTTGAAGACATGAGGAGGGAATTCTGGTGGGGAAAGCAGCAGGACCTAAGGTCCAATGGCAACTGTGGGAAAGCCCATGTTGAGAAGACTGTGAGGAGGCCACATAAGGATGTGGGAACATGTATCAGAGACAGTGTTGGAGTGAGGTTGAGGGCAGAGCCTGGGGCCCCCTGGAAGAGACCTGAAGGGCCTGGTAGAGGCATCTGGGTCTCATCCTGGTGGGAAACCCACGAAGAGCTTTGAGTTGGAGGGTGTCAGGACAATCTTTGGGAAGATAGTGAAGCCACCATGTGGGCTGGGTAGGAACAGGGAGAGTGATTTGAGGGCTCTTGTAGGGTTCCAGGTCAGAGTTGGTGGACTTCTGGGCTTCCTGAAGCCACTGAGACAGGTGAGAGGGATTTACAGGATGGTGGCTTGACTGACTGGAGAGGGGATGGAGAAAATTTGTCAAAGGGATCTGTGAGAGTGCCAAGCCCCAGTGACTTGGTGTATTAGAGTAACCAGGAGGGGAGAAGGTGAGAGCTTGCTATAGACATGTTGAGATTGAGGTGCTTTTGAGGAGCCAAGCTGGGAGTGAGGGACCTTAGGTATGTCACTGGAGTAGGACACATGGATTGGGGCTCCTTGGCAGAGGATGATGCAGGGGTGGAGCAGGAGAGGCACCACACTTAGAATCAGAGCCCTGGCCTCCTGTTGGGGTACCTTTGCTGACAGCTGGGGACATTGAGTAAACCATTTCACCTCTCTGTCCTCACCTGTAAAATGGGGGTCATGACTCTTGCCTTGTAGAGGTGGCTATGAGAATAAAATGAGACAGTCCTTGTCAGAGTGTTTTGAAAATTGCAAAGAAACACACTGAGGTCAAGAATTAACCCTTGAGGGATAGTGGGAGCCATGGATGGGGCAGAAGTGTGGTGGGACTGCCGAGAGGGAGTATGCAGGGAGAGGAGAAGCTAAGGGTGCATGGCCAGGGCTGGATGGTAGGCCGAGAGCACCATGGAGACAGGGTCAACCTTGCTGTAACTGGGTGAGCTGGGTTTCGGTGAGCACCTGCCAGAAGAAGGGTGGATAGGGGAGTGTCAGGGGCCAATGGGAAAAGTCCGAAAAGCTTGGAAGATTAAGTGGGTGACCAGTCATGTGGGAAGCTGCAGGGAAGGCCCTGGGGAACAAAGCTGTGACCCTTGGGTGCCCAAAGGATTCTGTTTTCCTGCCATCCCTCCCCACCCCCAGTCAATAACCAGATCGTTCATTTGTAGGAAAAGGAAGTACTGATGATCTTGGGCAGGGGCACCCAGGCTCTAGCCAGCCTCCCTCGGGGGTGCCAGGTTTTTATGTTTGTTGCTAAGCTGACCGATTCACCTCCTTGGTCCAGGGGTGCTTCTTCATTTAAGAGAATCCTGGCCTCTGAAAACTTCTCAGAGGAGCATGTGAGACTGGGGGGTGGACAGAGGTTTTGCATCTGAGCCGAGATGCTGTGATGACAGCTTGCCACACTCCTCCCACCTCAGCTTGACTCACCACCCAGTGTGTCTTTGGAGATATGGGTTGGGATCCCTGACTAGTGTGGCCAGCCCCAGGAACCCCAGCAGAACACTCCAGGCTCCTGGTTTTGTCTTTTCTCTGTAGTAGCCCTTCTGTTCATATCCCTCCCCTCAGAACCTGCCTGTGGAGACCTTGGGCCCGGAATCCAGGTTGGACACAGAATCTGACATGGGCCCCCAGGCCCCTTCAAGCCTCTCTAAGGCAGATGGTGAAGAGTTAGTTGGGACGTTGGATAAAGAAGGTAACGGGACCCTGCTGAGTGTAGGGGTATAGCTGCCTCTCTTTCATGTTTTGGGATTTCTGTTTCTTTGAGAAACTGAGGCTGGTTGGGCTGGTTGATCTTTATCTTCTCCATTATTCTCAGTTTATAAACATCTTCCCTCATTCTACCTAGTTTTCTAGGCTTCTTCCTGCCCCTTCCAACCTGGCTGGGGGCTGCAGGAACCAGAGAGCTGTGGAGGGAGTTCAGCAGGGGGTGAAGCAGTTAATGTTTTTCCTGAGCATTTTTTTCCCCACCACAGGGACCCTCTTCAAGAGTGAAGGCTCCCAGGCTGGGCCTCTTCCTCCAGAAAAGACTGAGGCCAAGGTGAGGACCTTCACTGGGGCTGGGGGAGGGAAGCAGGAAAGGCCAGGAGCTGCTCACAGCTGTGTCTGCATTAGGACACCTTGGAAGGTGATGGTGTTGATGTGGAGCCCCCTGGTCCAGGAGACAGAGCAACCCAGGATGACTTGCAGGAGACCCCCCTGGTGGCAGATCTGGGACAGGACACACATGGCCTGGAGGATCAGCATCCTTCAGAGAACCTACCGTCATCCCCCAAAGCAGGTAAGAGTCCTTTTCCTTGTCTCGTTCTGTCACTTTCCTTCTAGACAGTATAGGAATGGGACTATTTTAAGAGCACTGGTCTAGGCCCTGGGACTTATTGGCTTGGCGCCCTCCTTAAGTGACAGTAGTGAATCCTCACCACTACCCTTTGAGGACACAGACCTTCCGAGGGGTTAAGTGACTTGTCCATAGTCACACAGTTGGTGAGGGGCAGAGCCAGGTCTCATTGACTCTGCTCTACTATGGGGTCTTTTCTCTCTCTCTTTTACTCTGTCCTTCTTTTCCTCCTTCTCTTCTTGTCTCTATAATTCAGTCCTCATTCTCTGAGTCCCTTCCACATGCCAGCTGTGTGCCCAGGGGAGGGAGGATGCATGGTTCATGGCTCGTGTAAGGAAAGAGACTGGGTGAGCAAAGTTGTAAGTCAGATTGAAGAGATGTGCAAAAAAGAGGTGTCATTAAGGTACTCCCAAAAGGAAACAAGGGGTGTTCAGTCTGGGGGACAGGTTGAGAGAAAGAGAGAGAAAGGGGCAGTTGTGGAAAGGTTCACATTGGAGGTGATATTTGAATAGAGCCTTGAGCAAAGAGTAGGCTTTTGGTAGGTAGGGGTGAGAGGAGGAGCATCAAGGCCAAGGCTGCAGCATCAGCAAAAGTATGGGAGCCACCATCCAGGAGGTCCACTCCAGGAGAGTGGGTCTGGGGGAGGAAAGGGAGGGTTGGAGAGAGCAACTGGGGCCAAGTTGTGTAGTGTCTTATGTCCCATGCTAAGCAAGTTGTGTCTAAGGCCTGTGGCAGAAGATTTATAGTCTGAAGGGAGAGGCCAGAGGCTGGGGACTGTTTAGGAAATGACTGCTGTGGTCAGGCCAAGGGAGATGAAGGCCTGAACTAAGGTGGTTGCAATGGGGATTGAGAAGAGGAGTGGGTTAGTGAGATGTTCAAGTGTGGAATTGTCAAAACTTGTTGTCTGGGTGTAGGGTGAAGAGGGAAGGTTTGGATTTGGGCTAGATGGTATCAGTGGTGCCTTTCCCTGAATTGAAGAACACCGGAACTGGTTTGGAGGGCGTTGTGTTAAGTGTTTGGTCCCTGAGGGACATCCCAATGGAAATGGCCTGTAGACAAGGCAGACATTGAGCTCTGGAACTCAAAGGAGGGCAGGTTAGGAGTTACAGATCAGGGACTCATGGGCTGTAGGACAAAGGCAGGGGTGTGGGTGAGGTGGATAGTTGTGACTATGTATTTGGTGAGAAGAACAGAGAGGCAGAACTGGTGCCAGGGAGACCACCAGCACCCTTAGGACAGGGAAGAGCCAGGGAGGGAGGCAGAGAAGGAGCGTCCACAGTTAGGAGGGAAACCAGGAGGGTGGGAATAGCTGCAGGAGGTTGAGGGGGAGGTACACGTTCGAAGAAGGAGAATGCTTTAGGATGACTGTGGCTCTTGTAGTTTGTAAATTGAAAGGACTGCTCTCTTGCCTCCTTCAGGCTGGGCAGAAGCAGTCTTCAAGGCAAAAGTAGGTCTTCCTGTGCCCCTCTCGCAGTCATGGTGGTGCCTCCCTGTGCCTTCCTCCACTTCCCCTTATCTCTTTAAGTCCTGTCCGTCCCTCCAGTTGCCTCACTGTCCTGTCTCTGTCCTTCCCTCTAGCTTGGATCGTAGAAGAGGCCCATTGCTCCAGCAGTGAGGACGACACCGACATAGATGTGGAGGGCCTGCGGAGACGGCGGGGCCGGGACCCCAGCCCTTCTCAGTTCTCAGCACCCATGGGCGTGGAGAACCAGGCAGGGAGTGAGGGTGTGGCTGTGGAGCTGGGCATTTCCCTCAACATGTGCCTTCTCGGAGCTTTGGTCCTGCTGGGCCTGGGGATCCTCTTCTTCTCTGGTGAGTGGTGCCTCCCTTCTGGGACTTGGGCCTCTACTCTGTCCATGTCCCATGTCCATGTCCATGTCATCCCCCCACTTCACTGCATTCTCATTCTCACCCTGCCTCTTTCTACCCTTACCCCTTCGGGCATTATTGAACTCCTCTGTTTTCATCCTCAGGTGGCCTCTCAGAGTCTGAGACTGGTGAGTGCAGAAAGGCCTTGGCTTATGCATGTCTGTACTCTCCCCAACCCAGGGAAGGCAGTGATGGTGGTGGGTGGGGCTCTCTGACTCAGAAATAGAGGTGGTGATGCTGGGAGTTTCACATTTATTGCTCAGTTATTGGTCTTATCAGGGTAATCCGGGGGCCTTTACCTCACTAGGTTTCTCAGCCATAGGGTTGGTCCAGGGTAGGAGGGTGAGTGTGTGTGCATGTGTGTGTGTGTGCGTGTGCGCACTGGGAGGGAGTGGATTCTGTGGGCCCCTCTTACGACCTGAGGCATTCAGAGGATTTGGTTCTTGTCCTATTCCCCGTCCCTACCTTGTACCAGACCCCAAATTCCATCCTGGGCCTCAGTATCTGTCCTTACCTAAGCACACTTTCTAGACTGACCTAAGGGTAGCCAGTATGTAGATTTCTTGGCCCTATTCCCACTTCCCATCCCATGAACAGACAGTGTTAATTGAGCACAACACATCTTCCCCACGAAGCCAGTTTCAGGATCTCCCTTTCCTACAGAGCCCTCGGAGGAAGTGGAGCTGCAGGTCTTCCCTGATGCTGGGTCTGATGCTGAGTTGCAGGATGCTGTGGGGGATGGGCAGGTATGTGTGAGTATTTCCATATGAGTGTAAGGCCTGGTAGGATCTCTGGTGGCTTAGTGCCTAAGGCACTTGACTGCTAACCAGAAGGCTGGCGGTTCAAACCCACCAGCACTCCTCTGAAGGAAGGTTGGGCAGTCTACTTCCGTAGTGATACCGCCTCGGAAACCCAAGGAGGGGTCCCTATGAGTCAGGGCTGACTAGATGGCACATCACAACAACATGAGGCCTGGTGAGGGAGAATGGGGGCTGCCTGGGGCAGTGGGACAGGGCGGGGTAACTGACTCCTCTGACCTCAGGATGGGCTAAGGGAGCAGCTGCGGGCCTCGGCGCCCCCTGGCAGTGTCCCCAACCTGCAGAACATGGCCCTTCTGTTGGACAAGCTGGCCAAGGAGAACCAGGACATCCGGCTGCTGCAGGCCCAGCTGCAGGTGGGTACAGGTGGGAGTGTCTGGGTTGGGCCAGCCTTCCCTGGGCCAGGTTTCTGTACAAGTGTCTTCCCCACAGAAGAGTATGTCCCCTATTCCCCAACCTCCCACACCCACTGTAATCGGGGCAACTTCCTAGTTTTCTATTCACATCTTCATGCTAAGGTTTAGGGCAGGGTTGGCATATATGTTTCACATGGCACCTCTGGTTGATTGGTATGGGCTGCCTGGAGCAGTGAGTGGAGAAGGATTTGAAGATTGTGCTAAGGCTCAGTGGGAAAGAAATTCTGTGCTCAGTTGACAATGTCTGTTCTAGGGATGGGAGGTGGGAACAGGGCCATGAGAGCCATTTTGTTGGTTGTCCTTAGGTGGATCTAAAGAGTGTGTTTAGATAAGGACAGAGATGCTGAGGCCCAGGATGGAATTTTGGGATCCTGTGATCTGGTGCAAGGTGGGGATGGGGAATAGGACAAAAACCAGATCCTCTTGAGTGTCTCAGGCTATAAAAGAGGTCAGGACTCATGTGCATCATAATAGAATGGGACTGGGGTCAAGGGCACTGGCCCCATCATAACAAGGACTCCTTGTAGCACGCCATCGCTGCCTCCATTCCAGGCCCAGAAGGAAGAGCTCCAGAACTTGATGCACCCACCCAAGGGGTTGGAAGAGGAGAATGCTCGGCTCCGGGGGGCCCTGCAGCGGGGCGAGGCCTCCCAGCGGGCCCTGGAGTCAGAGCTGCAGCAGCTGAGGGCCCAGCTCCAGGGGCTTGAGGCTGACTGTGTCCAGGGCCCAGATGGGGTGTGCCTCAACTGGGGAAGAAGCCTGCAGGGGGACAAGGCAACTGAGGGGCAAGGCCCCAGGGGGCAGGAGCCAGGTCCTGGCTTCATGGAGCAGAAGGAGCAGCTGCAGGCTGAGGCGCAGGCACTGAGGCAAGAGCTGGAGAGGCAGCGGAGGCTTCTGGGGTCTGTGCAGCAGGACCTGGAGCGGAGCTTGCGGGAGGCTGGCCGAGGAGACCCAGCCTACTCTAGCCTGGCCAAGCTGGGCCAGAGGTTGGCTCAGAAGCTACAGGACCTAGAGAAATGGGGCCAGGATCCTGGGGCCCGGGCTAATGCCTCAGGGACCCAGGGTCAGGAACTCCATTTCCAGGGTTCCAAGGAGCGAAGTGGAAAGGAAAAGTGGTGGGATGGGCAGGGGGATCGGAAGGCTGAACATTGGAAGCATAAGAAGGAAGAACCTGGCCGGGAAAGGAAGAAGAGCTGGGGGGGTGAGAAGAACGGGGAGCAGGCAGGGAAGTGGAAGGAGGGAAAACCGAGAGTGGAAGAGTGGGAGGGCAAGAAGGATGGCAAGAAACAAGGCCCTAAGGAGCTGCCAAGGAAAAGCGGGAGCCCTCACTCCTCTGGAGAAAGGCAGAAGCATCCTCGGTGGAGGGAAGGGGCTAAAGACATGCACGACCCCCTGCCACCTTGGGCAGAGCTGTTGAGGCACAAGTACCGGGCACCCCAGGGCTGCTCAGGTATAGACGAGTGTGCACGGCAGGAGGGCCTGGCTTTCTTTGGCATGGAGCTAGCCCCAGTGCAGCAACAGGAGCTGGCCTCTCTACTGAGGACATATCTGGCACGGCTGCCCTGGGCTGGGCAGCTGACCAAGGAGCTGCCTCTCTCACCTGCTTACTTTCGTGAGGATGGCATCTTCCGTCATGACCGCCTCCGCTTCCGGGATTTTGTTGATGCCTTGGAGGACAGCCTGGAGGAGGTGGCTGTGAGGCAGACAGGTGATGACGAAGAGGTGGATGACTTTGAGGACTTCATCTTCAGCCACTTCTTTGGAGACAAAGCCCTGAAGAAAAGGTGGGGAGCTGTGGGGGGGCTTGGGTCTGGTGGGATGGGGAGAAGATGGAGAATGGGGGTGGGGGTGGGGGTGGATTTGAAGGCACAAGGCCCCTGAATGGGGAGGCCTCAGATCTCCAGTCTGAGGTCTTAACTTTTAGTCCCAAGTCAGCTTCCCTTAGAGAAGGCATCCAGGTGAGCTTCCTGTCTTCTCCCGAGGGCAGGAAGCTGCCTGGGCTCACCCTAGAGTGGTCCTGGGGTTCCCCATCTGTGTTGGGAGTCTTTTCCTGCATATATCCAGGGGTAAGCTAGATTGCTCCGTACCTTCCTGCCCCCCCAGTTGGTGCTTTCATCCTGGGAGAGCAGGTCTGCAACCCTGCAGCCCTGTGCACCTGGTGCTAGCTGCATGCATTGGCTTCGTGGAGGAACAGGGTCCCTCTCATTAGGGAGCTCCTGCTCATTAGGTGGATTGTACTCTTAAGGCCTCTTTCCCCTCTTCACCCCATGTCTCCCCACAGGTCAGGGAAGAAGGACAAGCACTCTCGGAGCCCCAGGGTCATGGGGCCCAGGGAAGAGCACAGCCACCACCATAGCCAGCACCGCAGGGGCTGAGGCCCTATCCCATTAGGGGAATCACCTCTCCTGAATCCAGCCTGTGCTTCTCAGCCTTATCCAACCCCTGGGGCTGGGGCTCAAACTGTTAAACTAGCACCTCCCTTGGCTTGCCCTGAATCCTTGGTGGAGGATCGAATAAGCAGAGGAGAGCAAAATCACCCACACTTGCACTGATGCCACTTTTGCTAGAAAAAGGCCTTAGTTGGACCTGCCATGTGATCTATGCAAATGTACACAAATCCTCAGGGCCTTGGGTGGAGAAACTTGGCTGACTGAATGTCTTGTGCCAATGTGAAGTAGGGAGATGGGCGGAAGCCTGTGTTTTTGACTGAGGTGTTGGGGGGCAGGGGATGACATTCTGATTGTGAAGCCAAAGAGCTCTTGTCTTGTTTTGTGTGTGCATAACCCCAGAGAGGGCCCCTTCAGCACCACACTCCAACCCGTGCCCACTGGGATTTGGCTGGAGTTGCTGGCTGGGTGCTGGGCATGAGGGCTTGCCCTGGGGTGCTGGTAGATTTGGAAATAGCTATCTCCAGGGTGGTGAAGCCCCCTTTTTACCCCCTGCTTCTCACATGGCCTCACCTCCTCATGTGAACTGTAGACTCAGATCCCAATAAAGTACTGTTGGAGCTGTGACATTGGGTGGGGGCTCTGTCACTTGGGGTAGTTTCTGAGCACAGAGGGTGCCACACCCACCACCATCCTAGGTTCTGATACCTGCTCCCTTCTTCCATTTGCCTCTTTCCTTCACCCTATATTCCCAACAAATCCCAGGCCCAATGGGCCAGAAATTCACCATTTTGTGTACTGCTGCCCTGGTTGCATCCCTGGGGGATGTAATAAATTGAAGGAGGGTTTTGGAGTCTTTTTTCCCCTGTAACTTGCTTTTTTTCTTTCTTTTTTTTTTGGGGTGTGTGTGTGTATGTGAGTGAAAGTTTATAGCGCAAATTCATTTTCCATTCAACAGTTCATACACGTTTTGTTTCATGACATTGATTTCAATCCCTATAATGTAACAGCTGTCTTCCCACTTCCACCCTGTAGTTACCTTTTCCCTGTGTCCTCGTTTCCTATGCATTCCTGCCCTCTGAATTTACCTTGCCCAAATGCTGCCCATCTGATCTCCCAGGGTTGATTGTTTTAAGGAGTGCACCTCCTTGTTACAATTATTTACTTTGTAGGCATGTCTGTTTGTCCTGAAGCAATGGGAGTAAGTTCAATTGCGGACCGTAGTCTTGGGAGTTTCACCAGGCTCTATCAGACCAGTAAACCTGGTCTTTTTTTTTTTTTTTAAATGATTTTGAGTTCCACATTTTTCTCCCACTTTATGCAGGATTTCCTATTCTGATCTTTTTCTGAGAAGTTGGCAGTGGTATCACCATAGACTTTCTCTGGGGTTTTGGTGTCTGGGGCCTTGGACTCAAATCCAGGCTGTTTGATCTTGGGCAAATTAATCTGTGGCAGCCTTAGGTTTCTTTCTGTTCAAAAAAGGGGATGGAAGGGCTGAGAGGGAGATTAACTAAACCACTGTAAGCAAAATGTCTGTCCCATATTTGGCTCTCAAAGGTTATTTTCCTTGTCTTCCTTAGAGCAAGTGTCACGGACCTCTTCCCATACCAGGCCATACAGAATCCTTAGTAATGTCTTATAAAACGTTAATTCCCATATGTCACTGAATGTAATGACAATAGTAGTGACAATTGGCAAAGTTAAAAACTACAGCTTTAAATTACAGTAGTGCATACAGCCAAAAGCACATGATTTGTCATTGTAATTGGGTAATAATGAGAGCTCTGGAGTGCATTGTTATGTGCTGTCGAGTCGGAACCGACCCATAACAACCCCTCCTTGGGTTTCCAAGGCAGTATCACTACGGAAGTAGATTGCCGATCCATCTTCCTTCCGAGGAGTGGCTGGTGGGTTTGAATCGCCAGCCTTCTGGTTAGCAGTCAAGTAAGTACCTTAGGCACTATGCTACCAGAGCTCCCTGGAGTGCATTAGAAGGTTCAAATAGTACGTTAGCATAGAATTTTAGGCTGGTAGGGCTACATGTAGCTGGGCTTACAAAAAATATTTTTGTTATAACTAACTATAAGGATATTTTTATAAAAAATTATAAATTTCTGCTGAAACACTGCACAAAAATTTATAGGTGGTCATTTTGGTGTCACCCCTCTGACAGTATCACCTTTTGTAGTCTGCATCACCCCTCCTGCCCAGTGATGCCACTGTGTGGAGCAGGGAGAAGGGGCTCTCCCCAGCTCTTGGCTTCCAAGCTTCTCCGGTTGAGGAGGTGAGGGAGCCACTAGGTGGCGCCCGGGCTCCATATTTTCTCCAGACGTCGCCTCCCCCACTAGTACCAACCCAATTTCCGGAAATCTCAGACCCCACCTCACTAATCTTGGGCCAGCACCGTGGGCTAGCTTCCCCAAGAAGATTCAGACTCCTTGTGTCTTTTCTGTAGGAAGTCCTTCATGAGATCTCACCTCAATCTTGTTGGCTGCATACTGGGCCTTTTGACTTCCCTGGAAATTCTCCAGTCAGTTCAGGGAGCAGAATGATGTTGCATGACTGTGCAGCCTGGGATAGGGCAACATGTCAGTTAAGGAGGGGAGGGACTGCAGGCCCCAGAAGGGGCTGTGATTGATTTCTGTATTATGTAGAAAATGCTTATGTAACACCATGACGTGCTAGGCACTTTTTAAGGTCTTTATATGGATTACCTCATTTAATTCCAGTGTGGGGGTGGTGGCAAGGCTGGGGTAGAACTAGGACCATTCATCCATCAGGGAAGTGTATTAGGTACCAGAAGCAGTGAGGGGCTGGGAGTACAGAGGCTCTTCAAGGAGCTTATAGTCCAGTGGAGAGGGCTATGGCCTGCTTTCTGCAGCAGGAGGGACTCTAGTTGGACTTAAGAATTTCCTCTTACTTAGGGCAGAAGGTGAGTGATAGGGCCTGGGCATCACAAGAGGGTTTAGGAAGGACTCTTGTATTTCTAGGAGCTCTGGTGGCATAGTGCCTAAGTCATCTGATTGCTAAGCCGAAGGTTGGCAGTTCAAACCCACCAGCCACTCCTCGGAAGGAAGGTTGGGCAATCTATCTCCATAGTGATAACCCAAGGAGGGGTTTTTATGAGTTGGCTCTGACTCCACGGCAGTGGTTGCATTTGCTTGTATTTCTGGAGGGAAGGTCAGGAGGAGCAAATGTAGATTGGCCTAGTTGTTTTTTTTTTT